GCCGTGCTCAAGACGTCCGTGTCGATACGTTGCGTGTCGGCTCCACGTATTGGCCCACGTTTTGGCGAACGTATCGCGGCGGACCTCCGTTATCTTGAGCTCCGTATCGATACGCTACGTGTTGCGTGTTGCGTATCGGGGCAGCTAAGATCCGAAGATGCCCTCGCACGGTGCCATCCGCCGCCCGTCGGGGAGGTGCGCCCAGCCACTTCGCCGCGCCTCGCCGACGCCGCCGCGGTGCCGCCCGAGCTGCTGCGGCGGGCGCGGCTGCCGCCCGCCGCGCACGAGCGCGCCGCTCGGCTGCCGGCTGGCGCCGGGCGGTCGCTCGACGACGACGACGACGAAGACGACGACGACGACGACGACGACGACGACAACGAACGACGACGACTAAGAGAACGACGACGACGACGACGACGACGCCCGACGACGATGACGACGACGACGTTGACGAGGACGAAGACGACGACGCGTCGTCGTTCCGCGGCGTCGCCGATGGCTCTAGACCTCCCAGATAGGGCCCTAGCAGACGGGGTCGGAGGATCGCGCTGCCTCGCCGCTGCATCGGCGATGCGGCTCGATGGGGAGCCCGATGCTGTTCGCGCTGGTCGTCGCCGAAGCGTCGCCGACGCATCGGCGCTGCATCGCCGATGCGGCGTGATCCTCCGACCTCATCTGCTCGGACCCCATCGAGGGCGCCTCTAGCGGCGTCGCCGATGGCGATGATTCGAAGAAGAATAAGAAGAAGAAGAAGAAGAAGAATACATGGCATCAAGGACAGCATTTCTCGGAGGGCCGTGCGGATCTCTCCTAAATCGGCGCCATGCCCCACTTGGCGCGCTCCGCGCGCCAGGGAGTGGGGCCCAGCGCCGATCCAGGAAATCCGCCCGGGCCTGCAAGGTATGACGTTTGTGTTATTGTGTTGCCTTGGGTGATGCCGAGAACCGACTCTTGAAGATCGAGGCTTTCGGGCGTGGTCGGGCTGCTCTGGGCCTGCCGGGCGGGGGGTCCTCGTGGCCACGACTGGGTCCGCTTTGATGATACGGCCTGGACGCACCCCAGGTCGGGCCGTCTTCATCGTCGTCGCCGACTCGGGTCGGATGAAAAAGGGCGGGTTAGGGAAAGAGGGGATACGACAACTGCCGCGTGCAGCCAGTTTCGGCCCCGCCCCCGGGCGACCTGAGCGATGCATGGGCGCCTCTGGCGCTGAGGAGCGACGGGAGGGCCAGCTACGCGATTCAACAGTGGCGAAGCGTCCTGGCGTGCCTATAGGCCTACCAAACAATGTTCTAAGGACTTTTTCGTGGTTTTCACGACATGTGCTTAGAACATTCCTGGATGGGACTGTTTTGTTTCAGCACATCGGGTTTGCGTTCTAAGAGCATTCCAAGAACATGTCGTGGCAGGCCTTTTGAAATGCCGGGACTGTCGGTCCCTGCTCGAGCAATTTCTTTCGCACCCCCCCCTCCTTACAAACCCCCCTCTCGCCCGACCCGAACGTCGACCGTCGACGGCGGCGGCGTCGTCGACGATCGTGCGCGGGCGCCCTCGGGCTCCGTGGGTGGGGTCCGCGTCGAGGCCGGCTCGGTGTTCCTCCTCGCTCCTCCCCCTCGCAGGGGCAGCGGTGGGGAGGGGGGGAGGAGCACAGGGGGGGACCTTTGCCGGCCCCGGAAACGGCAGGGCCGTTATTCCAACCGTTTCCAAAGAAATACCCCTTGAAAATGGGAACGGCATAAAAAAAACGGCGACCGGAATCGGCAAAAAAACGGCTCCAGGACTGGAACCAGAGCCGGAACCGGTCACACAACGGAGACGGAATTGGTAAAAAAACGGCGTCGGAACCGGCAGCAAAAATAGCAAAACGGAACCGGTAACAAAACGGCCTTGTCGTTTCCAGGGCCCACTAAGGGGGGGACGCAACGACCCCCAAGCGCCCATGGATCGCAGATAGGGGCCCGATAGTCCCAACCTGCCCAGGAACGTGCGGATTCACGATCAGGGGCCCATCGCCGATCTATGGTTGCTCCGTCCCCTCCTCCTCCTCATCTTCGCTGTATCGCTGCATGACTCCTGCTCCTCCTCCTTCGCTGCATGACTCCTCCTCCTCTTCCTCCTCCTATTCGTCCTCCTCCTCCTCCTCCTCCTCCTCCTCCTCCTCCTCCTCCTCCGCCTCCTCCCCCCTCATCGTCGTCCTCGCTGGCCTTCCTCCTCCTCCAGGTTGCTTGGCTCCTCCGTCCTACCCCATCGCTCCGGGAGAGCGTGCGCTCCCTCGCACGCGGGCGCGAGCCGCTCGGCTCCGCCGTCGCGTCGGACGCCGCGCGCCGCCGTCGCCGACGCCGACGTCGACGACGACGCCGATCGGGGGGTGGATGGTCCCAGATCTTCAATCGGCGTCACCCCAGCATACTAATAGTATTTGTGCGTCGCCCCCTCGGGGGCGACGCGCGCACCGAGAAATCTTACAGTACAGTGTCTGCGTCGTGGCGGGCGCTTTCTGGCCACACCGCTCGGGAAGCGATATACTACACGATGGGTACACTTATCTGTTCGGGTCGGACGCGCGCTTCCAATGAGGACACGTAGTACGAGTATGTTTCTGTGCGTCCCATTCGAACGCATCGAAAAAAACAAGACAAACAAAAAGTGATTCTAAGTTTTTGTCTCCTGGGGGCCTTCGCGGGGTCCGGGGGCCGTCAACAAAAACGCTTCGGAAGGAAAAGGCGGACTTGGGAAGACAGGCACTGGACTTTCTTGGGGAGCCCGCGGTGAAACAGACCAGACGTCGGATATCTGGGGTCGGGCATCTTCGGACGGGCTCGACGGCGGCTGCGGCGATGGCGACGACGCGTCGGCGGCGACGGCGAGGGCGACAGCGACGACGACGGCGACGGCGACGGCGACGGCGACGGCGACGGCGGCGACGACGACGGCGACGACCTGCTGAGGTGCTCGTACTCGGAGCTGGTCAACCCCGGCGGGGCGCGCGTGGACACCTTCGTGAGCCACTTCTGGGGGCACCCGTTCTCGGACACGATGGCCGCGCTGCAGGGGTGGCTGGGGCTCTCGCCGTCGAAGCCGCACGGCGGCAGCCGCACGACGACGACGACGACGACGACGACGACGACGACGACGACGACGACGACGACGACGACGACGGCGACGACGACGGCGACGACGGACGACGACGCCGCCGACGCCCGACGACGGCGACGACGTCGACGACGCCGACATGCCTCCGACGACTCGACTTCTTCCCCGTGGCCCCAGGCCTCGAAGGCATCCCTTTCTCCGGACCAAGGGTCGAGGATCGAGGAGGCCCAGCTCTCCGAGGCCACGCCGTTTCTCCCTCCGAGCGCTGCCTGTGCGGACCTGGGGCCCCTTTTTTGGGGGGCGCCGCGGCCCTCCCGCGCTCCGCCCGCCGAGCCCGGCGCCGCCCCCCTCGGCACGCTCGACGAGCTGCGTCGAGGGAGGGAAGAGCACCCGGACCCGATGACTGCGCGGTTCACTGAGCGTTGACTGGGCCCTGCTGGGAGGTCTTCGCAGCCCTGGGCGTTCACTGAGCAGCAGCCTCTACTGAGCGCTTCACTGGGCGTTTACGGACCGGGGGCGTTTTACTGAGCGCTTTGCTGAGCGTTTCCTACGCGGCCCTGGGCGTTTACTGAGCAGCCTTGCCCTGTTCGATGCCTCCTTTGGGTGCGCTTGCGGAGCGGCTTCGCGAGCCGGGGAGATGATCGTGGGCGTGGCTGTTCTGCTTTCTACCGTGGGAGCCAGCCAGCGGCTGGTGCGCCCCGGCGCGCGCCGCGCCCCAGCGCGTGGCGAAGGCCTTCGCCTTGCATCGAAGACGCAGACACAGCAGAAGCACAACGCTTCCGAGATCCGCGCGTGTTTCTTGGATCGGTGCTGGGCCCCCCTGGCGCCGCCCAGCGGATGGGGGGCTCAGCGCCGATTCAAGAATTCCGCGCGGACCTCCTAGGAATGCTTGTTATGCACTTTTCCGTTCGTGTCAACGATCAGACGGATTGCTTGGGTCGTCTGGAGCACTGCTCCAGCACTGAACGAGGTGTCAGCAAAGGAATACCGACTCAGGAGGACAGGCCGGTCCTGCTTGGGGAAAGGGCCCACTCAGGGAGTGGGCTGCTTGAAACATCGACTCGTCAGAGGTACAGAGTCCTCGTTCTCCTTCAGCTGCGGTGCTGGGACCAGCGAGCGTACCAAGAGGAGGCAGTGCATTGCTTAGTGCGGGAACGGGTCGGTGAGGGAAGCCTCGCCCAGGAAGCCTCGCCTCAGGTGGACAGAGTGGGAGGTCCAGGTGCAGTGGTGGGACCCGCGAGTGCGACGGAAGGAGACAGCGGCGGCAGTGCGGGAAGGGGCCCGTGAGGGGACGAGGCCCAGGCAGGCCCAGGACACCCCGCCTGAGGTGGACCCTTTGTGAGAGGGTGAATCTCAACAGCACTCAAAGCTCCTCTGAGTCGTCTTCCCTCAGCCATGGACACTTCGCCCCGTTCCTCCGCATCCTCCTTGCCTCTCGCATTCGGTGCGCGAGTCTCGGGTGCCGTAGCACCCTGATTACTCGACGTCATGCCCCGATGCCATCGGATCATATGTGTAGCGTTGGTGAATGCAGGTGCGTGCATGTGTGTGTGCAGGTGCGTGCATGGTTGTGCGTTGTGTGTGTGTGTTTGCGTGCGTGCGTGCGTGCGTGCGTGTGTGTGTGTATGTTTGTGTTTGTGTTTGTGTGTCTATGTATGTGTGTCCGTGTGCGTCCCTGTGGGACTGTGCGTACGTCTATGTATCTCTCTATAAATGTCTCTTTCTCTCCGTCTTCCCTGCATTTTTGCTCGGGCTCATTCTCTTCTCCTTGTTTCAACATCGGTGGCACGTCGGATCAGTTTTTTTTTCTCAGGCCACCCCTTTTCATACCGTCGCGAGTCTAGAGGACTCGTCTTCCTGCATTCGTCATTGTCTCCGTCCGTTTATGGTGGATATCTCCGCAGTCGCAAATGTCGGTTACGTTCCTGCTAGACGTGAGACAGCAAGGATCCCGATCAAGCAAATCTTCTCTCACCGCCACAATCAATGACTATGGGAGTGCGAAGCAATGGAAGGCGGCACTGGAGCTGTTCCGGAGAGCACAAACGCGACGCGTGCAAGTCAATACCATTCATTACAATGTCACCATAACTGCGTGTGGAAAAGGCTGGCAGTGGTGGCAGGCACTGTCGCTGCTCAGCGAACTGATGGAAAGGAGATTGCGGCCGAGCGTCATCAGCTGCAGCTCTGGAATCAGTGCGTGCGAGAAGTGTGGCCAGTGGCAGCAAGCGTTGTCGTTGCTCCGGCGTCTGCCAGAGCAGAGGTTGGAGCTGGACGTCATGTGTTTTAACACGAGAGATACAGCCAACCCGCATCGTAAGGATGGACAACCTTCCCAAGGGTACCCTTGTATCCCAAGGGTGCCTTGCATCCTTGCCCGTTCGGCCCATCCTTGGCCACCTTCACTGGACGCGCCCCGCTCGAAAAGCCTCGAACTGACCTGCCAAGGCCGTGGCGTCCTCATCGAGCATCCTCAAGATACGGGCGAGAGACTGGCGAGACGGGCGAGACGGGCGAGCAGCAGCGATGGCGAGGCGGCGCAAGACGGCCCCGAGGCTCCGAGGCCAGCGGGAACGGCCCCAGCACGGCCGTGCGATCCTCCAGGATTTGACACAAGACGCCCCCAGGACTCCGGCAGACACACAACGCGCCCCCATTGAGGCCCACAGCGGCTCCCCAGGAGGCTCCCGGGGTGTCCGCCCACCCCGGCTCGCCAGAGCCGGCTCTGCACACACCGAAGATACTTGCACACTCCTCCTCCTCCTCCTCCTCCTCCTCCTCCTCCTCCTCCTCCTCCTCCTCCTCCTCCTCCTCCTCCTCCTCCTCCTCTCGGATTTCACAGTGTTTTCGGCCTCCTCGCTTCCATCGCTCCAGACAGGCTCATATCGGCCCATGGCTACCCCAGACGGCCTGGAGGTGGCTCCCTGATAGACCACCACACCTCTGATGGCCCAGCAGGATCCAGGGCGTCGCCAAGACAGCCGAAGAGGCGCCCAGAGCGACCCCACGACGACCACAAGAGCGCGTTTTCAACACCCGAGAGGGGACCTGCAGGGAGCTCCGGCAGAAAGGAAGGCGAACGAGGAGGAGCGTTCTTTCGCCGCTCTGGATGCCGCCAGCGTCGAGAAATTGCTTCCGCTCACTCGTCATTTTGCACCCATCAGACATTTCAAGGAAACGCGTCAATTTCCATGGACTCCGAATTCCGCTTAAGAACATCAAGAACCTGGTCTGGACCTGGGCGCTTTCTTGGAGCGTCTTTTGGCGTAGAGTCTTCGTGTACATCTGTATATATATATATATATGTGTGTGGACCACTGTTAAAGAAAGCGCTTGGAGTGGAGTCGGTCTTCTGAGCCTAAAATTAAGTCGGGCCTGCCCCTCTGCAGGAGGAAAATTAAAGAATAGTCAACAATAGTATGGGGACGATTTTGTTGCTATTGTTTACATGATTTGAGTATGCGTAGTTTCTCCCCCCAAATCCGCCTGTAGGGGGACATGCCCGACCTGAGCCTAACATTCTCTGAATTCTGAGCCGGGGTGCACCACGCAGGCCAGGGCGGCAGCTGGGCACGCGTGGCCGCGCGCCTCTCTCCGGCGCTCGGCCCTCCTGCGCCTGGCCACACGCCTGCCCTCCGCCTTTGCGCGTGTCCGGCGCGTGGCCTCCGCAGGCCCGGCGTGCAGATCCAGTCGTGCTCCCACCTGGGAGGAGGAGGAGGAGGAGGAGGAGGAGGAGGAGGAGGAGGAGGAGGAGGAGGAGGAGGGGAGAGGAGGAGGAGAGGAGGAGGAGGAGAGGAGGAGGGAGGAGGAGGAGGAGGAGGAGGAGGCCTGGGACGTCCTGGGAGGGGGGAAGCAAGGAGAGGGACAGGGAGGAGGAGGAGGAGGAGGAGAGGAGGAGGAGGAGGAGGAGGAGGAGGAAGGAGGAGGAGGAGGAGAGGAGGGGGGCGGGGGAGGAGGGGAGGGGCAGCGGGCAGGAGAGGCGGGAGGAGGGGAGGGGCAGGGCCAGAGGTCGGGCCGGGGGGGGGGGGGGCAGAGCGAGGGGCGGAGGAGTGCGGCTCTCCTCGCGTGCTCGGTGGAGCTTCGGCACTTTGAGGGAGGGTGCCCTGGACACCCCAGGAGGGGACAAAACAAGGGCTCCCACGAGGGCGCGAAGTCGGTCGCGCTTCGCGCGTCGCGGGCCTCCTTCCTCCTCCCCCTCCTCCTCGTGCTCCTCTTCTCCCCTTTTGGGGGCGGCGCGAGAGCGCGAAGTTGTTCGCGCTTCACGCTTCGCGCAGCGCGAAGCGCGAAGCGCGAAGTTTGGAGCCCTTGAAAAAAACACGCAGACACAATTAATCGTCGATTCCCAAGAAAATATGGAAAAACATGGGAAGTGGGGGGAAGACGAACACCCAGAAAGTATGGAACAATATGGGGAATCCTGGGATTTGTATGTATTTATTTGTGTGTCCTTTGGCCCCTTCAACACCAGCTACATCCGCTTGCTGTCGATGGCATCCGCAGGCTCACCTTGCTCAGCTACAACGCTGGAGTCAGCGCGTGCGAGAAGCGCGGGCAATGGCAGCAGGCGTTGTCGCTGCTGGTTGAGATGCAGGAGGCGGAACTGGAGCCCAACGTCGTCACCCGCAGCGCTGGAATCAGCGCGTGCGAGAAAGGTGGACAGTGGCAGACTGCACTGACGCTTCTCAACCAGTCCCGGGAGGCGAAGCTGCAGCTCAACGCAATCAGCTACAACGCCGGGATCAGCGCGTGCGAAAAGGGCAGACAGTGGCAGCACGCCTTGTTGCTGCTCTGCGACCTGCGCGAGGCGAAGTTGAAACCCAGCGCCATC